GGGGTAGTGCAACCTGATGTGTGCAACCCACTCGACACGGGAAACCACCACCGCTGAAGCGCCGTCCGCCAACACGAAGAGCTCTCCAAGAGCGTGCTGAACTCGTTCAGTCTTCTCTCCGTAGAGTAGTCAGGAGCGGAACGATGTGATCGCTCGGCTCCGAAGCGAAAAGCTGAATATGCGCTGCACCTGCTGCCTACTTATACTCACGCTGTGATCAGCAGCAGCTGGATGCAATAATCGCATGCCAATGTGCATTGGCTCGTTTAGTTTACACTCGAAGTAGATTGGTCCCTCTAAGCGAGATCCCCATTTCGTCAGTCCTCCGACGTGACGTCGAGAGTGACCGACTGAAAGGGAACATTGTGGTATGTTTTACAAGATAAAACGATTTCAAACTTTTAGAGGAATGTGGAAACAATTGTTCAATGGTGTGTTTTGAGTAGCTTATTAAAATAATAATACTAATAATAATTTGTAGTAGTAGTAGTATTCAAATTCACCCCTATGAACCCTGGTTTTGTATATGTGTTATTTGTGTTGGTTTTGGCGAAGAAGCAGAAACATACGTTTACATATGTAAGCAGATGCAAATGTAAAATAATGTAATCATTAAACATTAAACAGCATATAAATCAAAACTGCCTAACGTTACAGAAAGCCAGGAAGTGGTTTAGTGGTTTTTTTAAGCTTTGTTGCGATCTACTCCATCTATGTTTTGATCATAGTTATGAATATGTTGTCTTTGTAATTATTTGTGAAATTTAATAGCAATTTCTGAGTAAAATATGTTTCAAAGTAAATCAGTATTCAGCAAATGTATAGTAAACTGGGAGCTGTGTTTGCCAGAAATTCCATAAAAACAATAAATTAATGGATGGATGGATGAATGAATTTCAGGTATTACATGTTGGCATACTGGTGCCTCTAATTACAACTGATAACTGTAAATTTAATTAAATTATATAATATAATTATACCTGTAAGTTACACAGCATAACTTGACAGTAAACCATACATTTTACAATAGTTTGCAGTAAATTTACATATAATGCTATTTACAGTTCTTCATCATATATGGGAAGGTACTGTAACTTACAGTTAATAAATTACTGTAACACTTTGTTCTGCAAAAATCACAAACATGGGGTTTATTATGGCTTTATAAGGGTTTTATCTGAAACGGTTTTATACTGATATAAAAAAAATTGCTCAGAAACCATTTTCACTCAGAAATTGCTATTAAATTTCACATACAATTTCTTAATCACTAATAATTACAAAGAAACGGCAAGTAACAGTAAGAATAGAAAGACTGAAACATACTCCAATCCAAACATACTCCAATCCAAAATCGAAAAACTTGAAAAGTCATATTTGCAGTTTAATACTCGTTTGAAACTAAGCGGGAGTGATGGCTCAACTTTGAATACTCACAAATGAAGGGTTTGAAGGACTGCACCAAAGCAAATAAATCCTTCAATTGTGCACACAATAATTTTCCGCTCAAAGAGTTGATGATCCATTTCACTATATTACGCTGTTAAAAGGTTTTTAAGTGTACCACTGGGCCTTGTCTGGATGAGTTTTATTTTTTGAAGTCTTTATGATCATTTATTTGTTTTAACAGCAACAGATAATTGAGTTGGCGGGATTAATGCTCTCCCTGTCCCGTGGCTACACCATCTGCGAAATCATCAAACATGTTTGTCATGCAAACTTAATAGAAAATCAATTTAGCCCCACCAAACAGGGAATAAGACGATTAGGCCCTCGACTGAAACGCTTACCAAAAAATAACATGGTGGTACCATGATTCAGTCATGCTTTCAGAGGTATTACCATGCTTCTTTGACATATAGCATGATCCTAAATGATTACCATATCCATATATTCATCCACTTGATATTGCTAACATACAAACATGGCATTACCATTGTAGCAGTTCCCAAAAAAATAATTTGCATTGCATGCAGTTTGAGATCTCAAGAATGTTCTAAAGGAATACGTTTAAAAGTCGATCCATTGCATGCTTTACACCAGACATACAGTAATGAATATGTTGTATGGAAAGTAGAATCATGTCTGTCTTTGTCTTTTTCGCGTCAACATCCACAGTCTCTTCAAGATCTTACAGTCTTTTCCACCAGTTTCTTCTCTGAGAGGGAGAAATTGAAGTGAAATTAAAAATAAATCATAGGAATTCAATTTGGAAGGACATGAAGGACCCAAATGAAAATGTAATGACACTTCTTCTTGGTTTGCATTATAAATTTATGTGAGGCACCTTCATTTTGAAGTGTTGCCAGATTGTTAAAATTTCAACGATATTGTAGATCTTAGATCAATGTTGAAAACTGTTTGCTGTTTAATATTGATATAGTAACTGTGATACACTACCATTCAAAAGTTTGGGGTAAGATTGTTTTTTTTTTTTAAAGAAAAGAGTAAAAATAAAATAATTCGTATTTTTATAACATTTATAAAGTTTCAAAAGATTTCTATATCAAATAAATGCTGTTTTTAAACTTCCTATTCATCAAATAAAAATATATAAATATATATAATATAAAAAAATATTAAGCAGCAAAAACGGTTGTAACATTGATAATAATAGGAATCATTATTAATAATTGAGCAAATAATATTAGTATTAGTATTGTTATTACAGTATGTTAATATTATTATTATGCTATATCAGTATATAGTATTATTACTAATCCAGATAGATAGATAGATAGATAGATACAATATATTAATAACAAATATAAAAACCAATAAAATAAATAATGCATGGCCTGTTCTTTTGAGTACTATTGTACTCCTCTATACCTTTGTACATACAGTATCAGTTTATTGTTTAGCTGTTCCAGGCGCCATGAATGAATTCATGAATGTTGTATTGTTTGGTGTGAGAGCACACCGTATCACTCAAGCATCGCATGCAGTTTCACATCCTGGTTCAGTACGGCTTCTCTGTTAAAGTGAACAGGATTGACAGGCCCAAGAGCCCATATTGACACACACACACACACACACACACACACATATTGTAACAACATCCTCTTTGCTGTGACCAGGAGTAATGAGGACATTCCTCCAGGAGGCATTGTAATGTTACAGCTCTTCCTCTCTCTCTTTGTCTCTGTCTTCCTCCCAGATGAGTTAAAGGAGAAATTACAGGACTTTGTCAAGGAGACCAACGCCAAGAAGCCCAGTTTCATTAAAATGGTGCGACACAGTAAGCAGGAGGGGCTGATCCGCTCACGTGTGAGTGGCTGGGGAGCTGCCTCTGCCCCTGTGGTGGCCCTGTTTGACGCCCACGTAGAGTTCAACACTGGCTGGTGGGGGATATGAGAATTCTGGCTATTCCTAGCGCTTCATAGCCAGACTGCAATTACTGCTTCTTTCAATTGAAATGGTCTAAAGGATCAGGATCTAGTGTTCAAGCACTAATAGGAACTGAGGATCTGAATAGATCTGAAAAAAAAACAGCCTAGTCTAGTTCACTGCTTCATTTTTCTCTCATCTTCATGTTGCTCCAAACAAAGTGTCTTTCCTCCATGAAACATAAAATGATTTTTAAGAATGCACACATTGCTCTTTTCCATAGTGCAAAGGACAAAAATGCTCCTTAAAAGTAGTTCAAATTACTTCTGTACTATATTAATTTTTTTAATCCATATGAAGGCTTAATGTGCAGCATATGCTGAAAAAACATGCATTTTATGCAAAAATCCAAAAACCTACCTATTCCTACAATTCACTGCAGTTTCCAGCTGAAATGAAAACTAGAAGCTGTAACTTAAATTCCTTTTTTTTTACACAAATTATGATTACAGTGAAGATTATTGATTAATAAAGGCTTATTTTCACGTGAGTCCTTGCACAATATTATGTTATGACCTGAAACGTCTAGGTTACTTGTGTAACCCTCGTTCCCTGAAGGAGGGAACGGAGACGTTACGTCAGTGACTGACGAATTGGGATCTCGCCCGAGAGCCCAATCACCTTCGAGTGTTAACTAAACAAGCCATTATCATATTACATGATTTGCAAACTAATACATTTTGATGTTTGCATCACATAAAATGCTCCTTATGTAAGGCTTTTCCGATGTAGTAAACTTGCTCGGTAGTGCACCTGGCTTTGTACTTGTGAAGTGAAGTGCTCGGATATGAGTCCTGTGAAACATGATGCACCACTGAAACTTAAGTTATTATGCACTCAGAATCTTCATCTCTAACTTCCATATTTCATTCACATTTCATTTTTAAACTTGGCAACACATCGAGTTCATTCTTGGATGAACTATTCCTTTAACCTGGTCCTGTATGAACATAGATCACATAGATGCCCTTCATCATCAAAAGAAGTTCTGGATCTTAGAGTTGGCACACCATGGTTTCTCTCATAGCAATCTGACCCAGATATGTCAGTGCAATTTGAATAACACCCAGAATTTTTCTGCCTTTAATCAGCTTTGATGTGATTTTAAAGCCGTACTGTACTGCTCAATTTGCATCTCTCTAGAAGAATCAGTCCTAAAATAGTACTGAGAATGAACTGACTGAATAGGCACTGTTTGTTATTTAATCATGTTGAGAATGCACTGCTTGTTCAGCCTCACGTTTCATACTCAAAAAATGCCTTTCTTTATTTTTGGAACAAAGCATGTTCACTGGGTGGTAAATTATTTTATTGTTTTGTCTACAGGGCTGAGCCTATTCTCCAAAGGATCAAAGAAGACAGAACCAGAATTATATCTCCATCTTTTGACAACATCAAATACGACACATTTGAGATTGAGGAGTACCCACTCTCCGCTCAGGGCTTTGACTGGGAACTGTGGTGCCGGTATCTGAACCCACCAAAATCCTGGTGGAACTTGAAAAACAGCTCTGCTCCAATCAGGTATTTTGTTCAATTTATTAATTTGGGAATTAATGATTATTTATTTAGGTGATATTGCAATAAATATATATTCAGTTAATGTTATTATATAATGTAAATCTCTAGGAGTCCGGCCCTGATTGGCTGCTTTGTGGTGGACAGGGAGTACTTTGCAGAGATCGGTCTGCTGGATGAAGGCATGGAGATTTACGGAGGAGAGAATGTGGAGCTGGGCGTGAGGGTGAGAAACTATATCATTCTGAGCAGGCTATGGGGTAATGAGGATAATGGATTCACTCTTGAAGGATTAATGACTCTAATGGCCCTCCTTTCTTGGCAGGGTAGTTCAAGTTGGCACCATTTACTGTATCGCTTGTCAAAACGCATTCTTTTGATCTGGTTGTAATTGTTATGCACTTTAAAAATGAGACGTAGCTTTTTTCAACATCAGTGTGAGTGGGGTTATTAAAACTACATCCATAAAATGTTTTACATATTTTGAGATGAAGTAGGGCAAGACAAATCACTTTTGAATTTAGGGCTGCTACTAATATTTTGGCTACACATTATTTTAAGGTGTCCTTGTTACAGTGTAATTATACATTTAAGTACTGAGTAAAATTAATTAACTTATGTACTTACTATATGTTAGGGTTAGGATTAGGGTTTGGCTTAGGGTTACTTGCATGTAATTATGCACAATTAAAAGGGTCATATGATGCGATTTCAAGTTTTCCTTTCTCTTTGTAGTGTTACAAGCTGTTCGTGAATAGATAAGATCCCTAAAGTTGCAAAGACTAAAGTCTCAAACCCAATATTCTTTATAAGAGTTAAGACTGGTCCACGCCCTCCTAAAACGCCTCCTTTAAACACGCCCCCACATGTCTATGTCACTGTGTGGGAAGATTTGCATAACACCACCCAAATGTTCACGCAAAAAATTAAGGCGAAACTTTGATTCTCACTGTAATATTGTTGCCGCCGCCATGTCGTGAAAAACTGTGTGTTTCATTGTGAAATTGAAATTACTTTGTTTGGCCTTCCAAAAGAGGACACAACTAGAAATCAGTGGTTAAGTTGTATTTACAACACTGTTCCAGAACAGTTCACATATTCAAATATTCAGATGTGTGCAGCGCATTTTATGGAGGACTGTTTCCTGAACCAGGGAAAGTAGCCTACAATGCCGTCTACCCGTCTACGCTGTTTCTATAAAGTTGGGCAATTCCAACTTTGCAATGACAGTCTGGCGCTTTTGACTCACAGTCTGTAAGTATGTTTTCATATTAAAATAATTTCACGATTCAAACGTGAGTTTTGAGCAGTGTAGAGTAGCGTTTGTTGTTTGTTGTTTCTCCGATCATGGTTTTATGTTGCGATATGCAACGCGTAAAAATACAGTATAAGTCATTATAATCAGTAATTAAAAGGCTGTTTCTATAAAGTTGGGCAATTCCAACTTTGCAATGACAGTCTGGCGCTTTTGACTCACAGTCTGTAAGTATGTTTTCATATTAAAATAATTTCACGATTCAAACGTGAGTTTTGAGCAGTGTAGAGTAGCGTTTGTTGTTTGTTGTTTCTCCGATCATGGTTTTATGTTGCGATATGCAATGCAACGCGTAAAAATACAGTATAAGTCATTATAATCAGTAATTATGTCCCCACTGGATGCACCAAATGCCTCATTTATAATGGGTTTTATTTGTTTTGTCTCGTCGCTCCGGCCGGGACACGGCATCACAATATGGTAAGGGGCGTAACATTTCCGTCACACGCTTGAGGCATTCGGCCAATCACAACGCACTGGATAGCTGACCAATCAGAGCACACCTCGCGTTTCAGAAAGGTGGGGCATAGAGGAGCAACAATAATGTACAGTATGTGGAAAATTATGTGTTTTTTTAACCTTAAACCGCATAAACACATTGCATTACACCAAATATAGTTATTTTTAGCAACGTCATATGACCTCTTTAATTGTTATTATAATAGTAAGTACATGTAACGAACAAGGACACCTTAAAATAAAGTGTTATCAACATTTTTTATTGATTATTTTTCCAATTAGTTGATTAATATAAAGATTATTTCCCTCAATTATTTCAACATTTTCTCATAAAATACTTATGTTATTTTTAGCAACATCATATGACCTCTTTAATTGTTATTATAATAGTAAGTACATGTAACGTGTAACAAGGACACCTTAAAATAAAGTGTTAACATTTTTTATTGATTATTTTTCCAATTAGTTGATTAATATAAAGATTATTTCCCTCAATTATTTCAACATTTTCTCATAAAATACTTATTTTATAAATAAAAATAAAATAAAGTGCAGAGAATTAGAAGACATTTTTCAGTAATACAAAATTTGAGTCCAACCTAAATTTTGCACAAATAATAGCTAGTGCCAATTATAATCTAATATGCACATGTATTTATATTTCAAGTACATGTCAAATTTTCTTAGGAAAACAAATGTTTTCCATCTAATGCTGTAAAATATACAGGCAATCCCTTCATTTGGTACATTCACTGGACTAATTTTAAAGGTTAAAATGACCGTAATAACAGAGACCAATTTTTGTTACAAACATTTAAAATACACATAAGGTAGTTTTCATTAAAAGCTGACATATTTATTCAAACATACATAATTATTATATATTACATTACATTATATTAATGGTATGAAAACCCTCATTTTCATGTTGGCACATTCCATGTAAATTGACTTATTTATATAATCCACATTGTTGATTACGATTACAACAACGTTTCTGCTCCATTTGAATTGTCATATAAGAAGTGGTGGAAATGGCCAAAATTCAGTGGGGAAACTCTAGCTTGGAGGGGGGTGGGGGGAATAACGGTAATTTTAGATGACCTTTCGCAAGTATTTAATTATAAAAAACTTTTTAATGTATAATAACATTAATCTTATTTCATATTTTCTCTAAACCTTCTTGAATATCAAGACAGGCACCCCACAATTCTGGCCAAATTAAAGATACACTGTGTGCGAATTTGCATATTATAATGTAAAAAAAAAAATGTGTACCTTGGTAATGCCATTTTTCTAACTTTATTGAATGTATGTCATCTTTTGTGTCAAAAAATTATATTTATAAACTTTTTTCCAAAATGTTTAATTAAACAATAAAATCAATTAAAATAATAAGATACAATCTGTCAAATGAAATCAGCATCAACATTTCGTCTTTGCACTAGGAGGTGGCACAGAAGAACACACATGTGGCATTAAGGAATATTTACAGACTGTTTAATGGGGCTTAGAGGTGCATTTAAATTCATAATAACAATTTTATAAGATTAATGTTTTAAATATAAAGTTTTGAATATAGAAATATTCAAAGATTTAAATAACTTTAATTATACTTAAAAAAAAACTAAAACCAGCAGTAGGTCTTTGTCACTGAATCATTCATTCAGTCGATTTGTTCAAACAGGTGATTCATTCAGAAATGTCTTCATGAATGGGTCATTGAATCACTGACTCACTAGATTTGTTCAAAAAACGCAGATTCATTCATAAATTAAACACCACTGTGTTTGCTTGGAGATGCGCAGTGGCGCAGCTGGGACTTTGTTTGCAGCTATTTTCATGGACTAAATCAGACAAAATCAAAAATCAAAATCAGACAACAGTGTTCCTAAAATGTAAGTGACTTAATAGTAACTTTTGTATAAAATCAAAAATGTATTGCAAACTCACTTTATAATCATTAAAATGCTGTCACTCATCTTAGTTCATCGCGATCTCTCAGTCTTCCATTATAATTAATGACGCTCTCTACACTGCACACTGAATCTATTATTTACATAGTGTCTACAGTTTGTTTGTTAAAATGAGAGGATCTGAGGTCATGTCCACACGTACACGGGTATTTTTTATAAAGAGTTTTTCCTTCTTCCGTTTTTACAAAAATTTCCGTCCACATGAAAACGCAAACGCATGCTATGAAGCACTGTCAAGAGCATGCCAAACCAACAGGTGGACGATATAATCTCAACCGTAAAGCCATGTTGGCCAATCAGAAGCCTAAAAAAGTTTCCAGTAGGCGGAGATAACAGCACAGGCTCTGACGTCACAAGCCAAAAACTCCGGTTTCACTGTCTACACGATAACACTGCAACCTTTTGATTTTTTTGAAAATCTTCACCCTGATGGGCGTTTTCAAAAATGTTCGGTTTCAGTGAACTGGTGCTGCATTTGCATGTGGACGAACGGCCAAGCCGCATAGAAAAAGATGCGGTTTTAAAAATAACCGCATTCGTGTGGACAGGGCCTGAGTTTGAATGACTCGGCACAGAACAAAAACTGCAGACTGCGTCTATGATCTGTTTTGTGAGGAGCAGGACACACAGCGATACAGAAGCATTCAGGTATTATGGCCAATCACAAAAGACAGCATTGCGGAGCTAACCATAGACACAAATATCCCGCTACATTTTAGTACATATTGTGCTATGTTTATGTGCAGAACTGAGATCACTTTCGTTTGTCCAATCACAATTTGTCCTTTATAACACTGTTTTCTTTTACCAGTAAATTGCTAGATTTAGCTTTGCAAAAATGTTCACAACTTTTCTATTTTCTGTTTTTTTCTCTGAATTACAAATCCTGTGCCTTTTTTGGTTCCCAAAGCTCTTGCAGTACAGCCCTATATTTTGTATCATCCATTCATACTTTTGTTTTAACGCTGCTGATAAAATGCAGCCCCACGGCATGAAAACTACCACTTTCGCTGAAGGTATAGTGTTTTTTGAGGTGATAGATTTGAGCAGTGTTACATTTGCACCACACATTTGCTTCACATATTTCTTTGCCTGTGCTACCTTCCCCTACAGGCCGGTGTTATACAGGTGTCCTGATATGGTTGACTGGTGCACCTTTACTCTGTTTTCATATACTGAACTCTCAAAGCGAGCATTGTCCTTTATGTGGCTGCTCTCACATGTCTCCTGCTGTTTGTGCAAGGAGTTTCATAGGGCAACATTTTCTAGCCAACGTCTGGGTGATTTGATGAAATAGCATTGCCTGCTGGGACACATAAACACTCGGATATTATTTTCCTTACTTATGTCCTTATTTTCCTTAATTTCTAACTTCATAGAATTACTCTTTATTATTAATTTCACATAGTGTATGTCCTTCAAACTCACAACCTGAATAATGAGTCATTATGAACTGTAAACTCCAATGTCCTATGG